AAGGAGTCAGGGTGCATTTTTGGAAGAGTTTTTTTTATCTTGATGGAAATTATTAGAAATTGGTGGACACCTGAAAATTAGAAACAGTCCAAGATAAGAATATTGGAATATTATTTTTTAAAAAATAATGAATGGGAGAGAATAATTTTTATGACATAAGATCTGAACAACAGAACTAAAACCTGAAATACTTAAATTCAAATATATTTTGGATGAAAGCAAAATTACAAAGCTTAATGCATAATAAATATGTTTGAAAACATTCCACATAAAGAAAGATTAACAAATCGTTTAACAAACTATCTGCAAATCTAAATATTCTTTTCTGTACTTTAAAGTAGTCAAATACACAGTTAAGAGTCACAAGCAGCTACTGTATATATTGTAGCTATAGGTAGGAATTCCATACAGTGAGGTTAAACACATTCTCTTTTTTAAAAAAAAAATGTTTGAGGTCAAAAAGTCAAGAGGAAAAACAGACCGTTTTTTATTTTGTAGGTGCAATAAATAAAATTGTTTCAAATACATTAAAACCCACTGCATAACTGTTTGCATCTGTCTGTTTCAGAAGACCTGCAGCAGTTTCTTAGAATTCTAGTTCCTGTTGCAGACTCCATTTTATTTTAAGAAAGCAGGATGCATTACTATCTTAACATGATGCCTTGGTATCACATTGCACAGATTCAGTTTCATTGTAAGATCAGTCCCTGTATTCAGAGATGGAAGGAGGTCAAGAACTAATGCTATTTTCCTCCACATTGTTCAGCTGAAAGAATAAAAAGTTACAGAAGATAGAAGTTTACTTTCCTTAACAATGTAAGTCTACTCTGTATGAAATCATGCATTATACCCCACTGCCAGATATTGACATAAGAATAGTGATGTAGCTGATGTTTTTCTTGTATGCACAAGAGATACATGATGACAAAATTGAATATGACACCTGTTTTTAATAGTAATCCTGGAAGATGGTTTGTGATGCAGGAAGAAGATTCCACAAACATTAAGTGGAACATGCTTAACAAACAAATTGAATTTAAAGTACAGATCCATGAAACACTGCATTTACACTGTTTAGAAAAGTGGCAATCCCAGGAAAAGATTCTCATTAGATATACTATACACAATTATTCTCTCCTCCTATAATTTTTTAATTTGGTTTCATCAATATTCTTCCTCCAGACCAAGTCACCAGGAAGTTCCCAAAATGATAAAATGCACAGATATATTTATCTGTATCTTTTGTAAAATATCTATTCTTCTTCTATATTGCGTCTTTATTTTGTTCTTGCATACTTAATCATTATTTGGATTTTGTGTGTATGTTTCTCTTTTATTTCTTGCACTGCAGAAGGCAAGTTAATTTGCCCTACATCTTTGAGTTACATACCATGTGTATCATTCTGTTAAATCAAATCAAGCAATAAAATAGCACAATTGTAAATGTCACTTTAATTTTAGTAGAATAATTTATTTGAGATCATACATTTTTTCATTCACCAAAAATGTAGAAGAGATTGAGAGGCAACCTAATCACAATTTTTGTTAAAGAATTTGCACAGACTAGGAAAAGGTGGTGGCAATATAATATACAGGTGTACTGGCTTTTAGACATTCAGATAAACTGAGAGTTGCCAGTCCTAAATACTTTCTAGTAAGAGAAGTGTTACTGGAAGACGATACACTCAGTCATCTGCCTTAAGGGGAAACTACTGTATCTAATCCTTATTATTACTTCTGCTACTGCAAGCACATTTTCCGAGATGTAGTTAGGTCACCTGGCACAAGATTCAACATTACATACATTATATTTTACTCCTAAAATTAAAACCTTTTGGTTTTAATTAATACATGAAAATATAGTTTTCTGATGTTTCTGATGGAAAACAACTAATTTTGTTTGCATTGAAAAATAGAAGAAGATAAAAGTCACAATATTGTTGCTTCCCTTAGCTAGTACATTTGCAATATTGTATTTTTTTCTTCATTTTCGTTGCTGGGGCAATGAAACAACAGTATTGTTCTACAGATTTTGCAAATCCCTATTCTCTTCTTTCAGAATTCTTAATCTAGAAAGGAAACAAGATGGATCATATCCAATGTAGCAACCTATTCATAAAAATGTGGGCTTAAGCCATTTTTATTTGTTTTCCTTAGTTTGGAAATCCTGCAGTAATGTGGTTCACCTAGTACGGTAACAAAGTTTACCTACGCTTGTAAAGCCATACTGGAAGTTTATTAGAGAAGAAACAATAACTGTTCTGACAAGTGTGCTCAGGTATAATTAAACTGAATCTTCTCAAATTTGAGTTCAATTTTTCTACAAGTCTCTCAGAGAGAAATCATGAATGAATGCATATAGAACAAACATCCTTTAAATATTAAGAGTTAACAAATGCACAATTTAAAAAAACAGCATCTTTATTTTAGGATTCAATCCAAATCAGTAACATTTCCAGAATTTCCTACATGGAAGCAAATTCTCCCACATAATTTCTGTGCTCTTGTACCTCCTCTGAATCATCTGGTGCAAGACATTATTGAGAACGATATTTGGCTACATAGTTCATTTCAGAAACCTTGCCTAGCTGTCTCTATATTTCTGTTTCTCCACAAAAGGAACAGAACAAAATATGCAGTGTGGTAGAAATGCATGTGGTATGTTACTATATATAAACAATTAAGACATTAATATACCTATTAAACTACTTATCCTAAAGGCCCTTTTATTTTTAAAATGGCAACAGATAAACTATATTATTATTCTAAACTACAGCAGCACTGTAGACTGGACTACAGTGAATCCAAATGGTGGGAAAATTAAGGGAATCATGGATGCTGTAATCTGCATCCAGAAATTGCACCAAATCACTGGGCAAAAAAGATACTAGCAACATTAAGCATTACATTAACATTAGAAATTATGAATCTGAGCTACCCATTTCACAATTGAAGTTTTTGACAGAGAAGTTTGGAAATCCAAATAATTTTCTCCAAATACAGATTGCTGTTTTTTTCTCCCTTCCCTTTCCTTCCTGCCTAATAACCTAGATGGTTTGGTGAACCAAAGACTATAGATACAATTTTTCCTCTTCAACTGATTTCTTCTTTCCATGATTTCAAGCATCAGTCCTAACAATATCTGGTTAACATGTCAGAACAATAAAGGAGGATCTTCTTTCAGAAGGGAAATGGCTGCTACAGACCGAGTGCCTATTCACTTCCTTTAAAAAAAAACCACCAGTTGGCCTAAGTTCACTTTTCCATTCGGAGGGGCAAATATATATTTTTCAAAGAAAATTAACATTGTCTTGAAACAATTGCATAAAGTGTTTTAACAGCTCTTACAGCACACACATGTATAAATAATTGCAAATACTCGATCTTAAAACAGTTTACACTAACCTCTTTAGGATAAATATCACAAGAATGGATAATACCTCATATTCATTCTAGGCCTCTGAGAATGAAAGCCTTGGAACAGATAAGGCTCAACTGGGACAGAAATAAACTGACTTTGGGTCAAGTATGATAAATGCAAACACAACAGGTAAGAGGCTCCTGCTTGGTGTCTTGCAGATCTCTTTCATAATCCTCAACCCTAGTTAACAGGAGACCATCAAGTTGTACAGTGCATTGGCATCAAAGAATGAGGTACTATCACAGAATGTATTAGCTAGAATGTATTTATTATTACTCATATAATGAGAACTTAGGCTAGGGTATACAACAGGATTTTACCCTCACAACAACCTAATGAGGTAGGTTGGGCTAAGAGACATTGGTTGATCCAAACTCTGAGTGGGAAATTGGACATTGCTTTGTCACAATCCTACATGATATTGGAAAGATATGTTAGGCCTATCTTGGTGACCCTGATCTTCTTTTATATCCTTTAATTACCTACAAGGTGTCAATCTGTTCAATGCTCAAAATTGCCTCTAAGATTACCAACTTCATGGTAAGCATTCATCTTCACAGAGAACACTATCCTTCCCAATAATGGTAACCCACACTTCTAGAGAGTTCCAGACACACAAGTCTTTAAATAAATCAATCTGCTGATTTCATTTCTCAGTTGAGTCATGTCAGCAGCAGCATGAAATTCCTGCAAGCTAGTTATGCTTAACCTGTTAAAGAAACCACACAGAAACACAAACACACACACATACACACACACAGAGAGAGAGAGAGAGAGAGAGAGAGAGAGAGAGAGAGAGAGAGAGAGAGAGAGAGAGAGAGAGAGAGAGAGAGAGAGAGAGAGAGAGAGAGAGAGAGAGAGAGAGAGAGAGAGAGAGACTGGCAGTTTAAATCTCCTTAAAATGAATCTATTTTCTCCAAGCTTTTATTTACCTAAAAAAAGTTGCTACAAATATCCTGTGCATTACAACAAATAAGAAGCAAGATATTTAATTTTTTATGTACTCCAATCTTACAACTATGACTATAAAAGCCCTACAAAACTAGTGGTACAAATAAGGTTTTTCTATAAATCAGATTATATACAGAATATTCTCCTCATCTATGAGAACCAACACACCTGAATATGTGAATTGGTCTACTGCCTCTATTTTAAATCCATGACATTGACTATCCACACGAGGGGAAAATATTCAAGCAAGAATGTCTTGGAGAAGAAACACACTTCACACATCATTAGACTCGATATACCAGGATCACATTTCAATTGTCATTCACTTACTTTATCAACAAACCACAGACATGTTTTGTAAAATTAATTTTGCAAAAATCTTATATCTGAAGAGCAAGCACAGCATCTCAATCAGCTAACTTCAACAACCAGACAACATCATGCCAATAGCAAAATCAAACATCGGACAAATATTAACTTAATGTCTTAATCTCATTATAATTGCTTTCTGCACCTATTACAAAAGAATCCCAATCAAAGATTGCTAAGCTGTCCACTGATTTTGATAGACTGACATCTAAATATAGAGATTTGCTATGGAAGTTTAAACACTGTAGAGTCTTGTTACCTTTGCAGCAAGTTTGCTCTGGGGATTCCTGAAAAAGGTGGTTTTGGCTGTAAAAAAACACTCCTCCAAGTCTTCATCCAAACTACAGTAGCCACTACTCATGCTCTTATGGACAGTCATCTGAGGAAAAGTTCCAAAATCTTCAGAACATGTCAACTCCAGGAAGCCAGACAGTCAGGTACCTCCGAGTCTCAGCTCACTGCAGCAACAGTGCAGTTTCTCAATCGAGTTCCTGTGCAATCAACAGTGAGCACAGTTTCACCTCCTCCAGCTCCTACTTGCCATGCCTTGTAACAGTTTGTTCTCATCAGCAAATCAAATAATGGTGCTGGCTTTTTTCTTTCTTTTTTTAACAAAGTAAGCAAGCAAGCAAGAGTGAAACAAAAAATCTTGCCAGGAGAACCTTTCCTTTCCTCCTCCACCAAGCTCCCTTCTTTGGCTGTTTTCCAGAAACAAACTGGGTGCCAGGACCCGAGGGAGTTTTCTTTTGCTCTTGACTCACGAACTTGCTCACCATCTGTGCGGCTTCATTGGTCTCTCTGCAAGCCTAATTGCAAGAGCAGTATCGCCTTCCTCTGCCCCCACCCCCCCACTCTTTCCTGCTTCTTTTTCTCTTGAACCACTTCCTCTTGCAAGATTTCTGACATAGTTCTTAAGAGAACATTGACAGTATCTCAGTTGATTTTGAGTGACACAACTTGGGAACGGAAGAAATAGAGAAACAGAGTTATACTCCCACAGGGGAGGAAACAACCTGCTTCTGGCTCTCCAGTATCCATAGCAAACCTTTATAAAAGGGAGGGGCAAAGATGAGAGCTGCTGATTAAATATGTATTACTTGACGTATGCTCCCAGGTAAACATCCTATGATAGGCTTAAGGCATGTCTGGTAGTAAGTAGTGAAAAGCTCTCCAAAATTATGCTTATCCATTCTCCGCTCAGTACCTATTTTAATAAGTTTTTGCAAGAGAGGGACCGGGGGGGGGGGAGAGAAACTAATGGGGAAAGGGTGTTGAAGAATATCCATGGGATTCCACAAGGACTTTAGGGACATTTAGAAAGTTGGGCCTCTACTGGAGATGGTCTGTGACACCTGTTGTAATAAGCACCCATGTACATTTCCTATTTCATATATTGAAATATATCTGACTGACATATATGGTAAAAGGAAAGAAGAAAAACAGAGATTCCCTAGCAACATTTCGATGCAGGAACCCATCTGTGTTCTGTGCTAATTTTAGAACAGTCAGAAAGATTTTTTCCAGCATTCTTTGCTCAAAGAAGTGGCCGCTTTTTTCATAACCTTAGTAATCATCATCCATTAGAGGTTTTTTAATTATTTGTCACCAACTGTTATGTTAGAAGTACTTTGACACAATAATTTCAACCTTAGTCAAAAGGCCCAGAATGTTTTTTTTTAATTTCCTTTGATTTCTATAGGTTTAGGCTGAAATACTGATCTCAGCTACCTTCTTCCAATCTCTGGGTGTCAAAATATCTTTGTCCAAGAATACTAATATTTGCTTGGAAAGAAATAGCTTTTTAAATACATTTCTTTGCTACAACTTGTCCAATACCTTTCTTGTAAAAATGCATTTTAAAATCTGTGCAACTCTATATATTTTATACTCACAACCCTTTTCCTTTCTGTATATTACTTTGCACATTTTAACTGCTCAATTAACTATAGCTGAGGCACATATGCATCTTTTTTAATACTTGTATTTCCTGCCAAAGGATAATAAAGTTTCAAAGCTGCAACATTAGCAGCTTTGGATTGGTTTGCACAATATACAAAGGTAACTGATTTACTTGTGGTACACTATACACTATATATGTATGATGTGGTACACAATACACTATATATGTATGATGATTCAAGGATTTTAAAAAAATTAACATTCAAATAAACCAGTTTTTTTTCCTACTAGGACTTATGGATAGTCAGTTAGAAAAGACACATGGGAATTTAGTTTTATATGTGGTAAGTACAGCAATGCTACTTACCTTATGAAAAAGATCAAAAAATAAAGAACTACTTACAATGGACATTGGATTAATAATGACAAAACTAACAGAAATGGCAAAACTGTTTCATCAGGGATAAAACTACAAATACTTTCTTAAAAGATTGGAAATCCTTCATAGACTTTTTGCTGAAAATAAAGTCAATAAAAATGACTTGATTTCTGCATTTGCTGATTGCAATAGGCTGAATATAGGAAGAAGTAAACTATGTGATATAACCTTGATGGGAACATACTCAGATTCCCAGTTTTGCATTTTGAGTCTGATTTGATTATTTTTATTTAGCTCCTGACCTTTAGGAATAATCCCAAGGTGCTTTTTCAAAAAGGCAACTGGACTTTGTTTAGAAAAGCACCTTTGGGACAACCATAACCTGGATGACTGAGAATCCCCATAAGCCTTTCCAACCAAGTGGCCTCCAAATCAGGTGAATGACAACTCCCAGAATTCCCTATCAGCAAGGTCAGTATTAGAGATAGAGGACTCCCAGAAAGGGAAGGTGGGTGGATAAATGAAAGGACTGAAGCAGCAGCATTGCAATGCAAGCTCTACCATTTTTGTGCACTCATCATGATATTATATAAAAGGGGTAGAGCCTGCATACGATGGAATGATGCTGTTTTTGTCATTCTGACAAAATCACTGTATTCCATAGTCACATCTAACTGGAGGTTGGGAAAGAATATATCACCTGTGCTTCGTATTATCCACAGCTTCAGATGCAATTCATCTCTTTATAAGTCATTAGAAGCTTGATAAGATTAAGAACTCCGATTGGCATAATAATTTTAAAAAATGCCAGTGAATATACATACCTGAAAACTCTGCACATTAAAACTATCTAAAGTTCTGCTCTGGTAGAACCCAAATTGCAATGACTTTTGAAATTTTCAACTTTACTCATCCCTGGAATTGTCACCAAAACAGGTTTTGTTTTGGTAAATATTGAACCAATAAACACCACGGTTCTTTCTGTCCAAAAGAAAGTTGACAGTGACAACAAAACCTAAAAACTAAACAACAACCAAAAAAAATGGACAGAGGCAGAAGATGTATAATATATAATAAAACAAGATTTATCAGCAGGATAAGTTGTACATTTACCTTGCCAGACATCTAAATATTTTAAAAATTAGCATGGAAGGAAAGGGTGGCACTCAAAAGAGGTTTCTTTCTTCACTGAGTAACGTTTGGTTAAAACACTATGTTTATGGCCAGAAAGATGAACAAGCCACAGTTTTCCTCTAAGCAAACTTTACAACATAGCACTTGTGATTTTTATTACTTCACTTCATGATTTTATACACTTATAAAATCATGAAGTAGCTAGGCTTGCATTGATGTGCAAGATCATCTCTCAAACATTTCTGCTTAAATTGCCACCATCTAGTATGTGCTTTCCAAAAAATAATCACATTTAAACTTGCATTATGAATTTAAGATTAATTTACAATAATAACTTATGTAACTTTATTAAAATGTAGAGTCCTGAACAGAGAAATAATTCCTTATCCTCCAAAACTATAAACAGGAGCTAAGAACCATGTTTTCAAAGGTATTTTAATGCCTGCCATAGAACAATCTACAAAAGGCTATCTACAAAGTTTAAATCCTTGAAAACTTTGATTTGATAGACATGAAAAAAATCTCACAGTGTGGCAGAGGTGATCGTCTCACTGCCTCACTGGTTAGTCTGTATCATTACTGCATTCCTCTAAAAAGCATTAAGGAAACATACAGCACCGAACCTTTGCACACTTATGCCAAGTGGCAATAAAAAATTACAGCACGTTTCCTAGTTATCAGCACCTTTGGATCAGTTTAATCTCTAACTAAGTGGCAGATTTCAACAGTCATAGTTACATAAATATCTAAATTGAATCATATGATAAATGTATGTATTTTTTTCAACAAGATGTAGCAGTCTCGTTCATCTCATAATTCAAGTGACAGAAAAGGTGTTCCAAGTTTACTGCAATTTTGCAAGTACAAAAAAACCTGTCTGCCCGCTTTTTTTGAGCACTGTCCAATAATCTTTGTTCTGGCATAATACTATCCTTAGTAAACATGTGCTGTCAATTAAATTAATTTGTCTTTCAGCTCCCCCAAGTGCTGTTGATGGGTAAAACATTTAGTTATACAGGTGTTTGTATCCTGACTGTCAGGATGGGAAAAAGGAAGGGTCCAAGCACAGGAGTTAAATCCACTATAATTGCAGAAAGTCTTAAAATGTTGCTAGATATAACTGTCCACTAGTAACTCCTCAACAGAAGCTAAATCAAAAATAGACTAGCAGACTGTTAAAAAGAGATCATCAAGATAATTCACAGCACCATCACATTTAACAAAAATTACATTTTCTGAATGGTAACTTTCTAGATTGCATGGTTTACTCTTCAAGTAAACTGAATCATTTATAAATTATAGAAGGTATATAAACTGGTACAGCATAAGAAAGTGATTCATTTTCTCAAAATACTGAAGAAGAAAAGTCTACCTGTCACTGGATCAGTGTTATTTAAACGTATAGGAATTTTTCTGACTGAACAAATTACTTAATCCCTTTTGAAAGGCCCTACAAAAAGCCTACAATAAATGTATTTGAACTTGATCATTGTTTAGTTTCATTAACGTTTTCCCAATGAACAATATTTTTTCATACAAATACTCTGGAGAGATTGAGCATCAATGTTTAAAATATTTATTTTTCCTCAAGATCACATATGTATAGCCCAAGTTTTTTGGGGGGTGGGGGGAAGGAAGGCTGCCATTTGGTTTTTTTTGTACCTGATTCATTTCTTTTTTTAATTTTGTATTTCAATAATGTTTGTTCATGTCTTATCATTCTACTATGTCTATGATTTTTCTTTAAAATAAAAAATATTGGGTTTTTAATAAAAGGCGAATAATACTACAAGAACAGTAATTAAGATAAAAATAAGGGAACCTCAAGTTTTTAGTATATCATGGGTGAACTTATACTGTAAAACATGTAAAAAACAAGAAAAAAGTCAAGAAAACAATTATTCCATTACTGTAAGAAAGTGGCGAGAAGGTGACAAGCAACACGGAGAAAGCAGAACTACTTAACTCGTTTTTTGCATCCGTCTTTACACAAAGGGAAAAAACAGTCCAACCTATCAAAACCAGTACCGTAAAAAACAGGTTAGAAACTCAAATTAAAATAGGCAAGAAAATGGTAAGTGAGCACCTGTCCACCCTAGACGAGGTTCAAATCACCAGGACTAGATGGATTACCCCCCCCCCCAAGGTTCTGAAGGAACTGGCAGATGTGATCTCAGAACCACTGAACGATCCTGGAGCACTGGGGAACTACCAGAGGACTGGAAAAGAGCTGATGTAGTTTCCATCTTCAAGAAAGGAAAAAAAATAGATCCAGGAAATTGAGACTTATCAGCCTGAACTCAATAACTGGGAAGATCCTGGAAAAGGTAATCAAGCAACAAATCAGTGAACACCTAGAGGCAAACATAGTCATAACCAAAAGCCAACATGTGTTTGTCAAAAACAGATCAT